TATTACTTCTTTTTTCAAAATTAACCTGGTGAGGAATCTAAGTGCTTATTCAGAGTGCCAGAGCGGGAACGGGCGCGGGCGCGGGCGCACGGGTCTTGGCGTTTTCATGTTCACAGTGGTAGAGCGGCTGACAGACTGAACGTACGCGTGTTATAAAGTTCTAAAACTTCGGCTTCCTACTAGAATGAAGATTTGATTTTATTAATGGAAAATTCATTTTAAAACTGGGAAGAAAATTATGTGAAGAAATTACGCTATACATGAAATGAATAAAGGACGAGAAGAATTGGGAGAATTTAATGTACCATACGCCGATTTACGGAGTAACCCAGACTTCTGAAAATACACTAGAAAGACAAAAAATACATTTGATTATAAATTAAATAAGATCTCAACACATTTGATAATTAATAAAATAATATAAATTTTTCTGTATCGATTTCCATGTTGCCGCGGGTGAATCAAAAAGGTTTGGAATCAGACGCGTTAGTCACAGAAAGCCGCTAGAGCACTATGAAAGACACAGGCGGATTGAGCCAAAAGAATCACCCGCGCGATAGTCACGCTACCCGCACCCGCTCCCGCGCCTATGCAGACGCGCATACGCGCGACCACTGTGAAAGCGAGAAGTGTCTAGATACATTTTATCTACCCGTACCCGCACCCGCGCCCGCACTCGCCTTTACTCTGAAAGATAATTTTTTGCAGACTTGTTTATGCTGTTGGCCCAACGAATAAGTTCGTGAACTCAAGCGCCAAATGCAACTATGTCAAATATCTAAAATCTGGTTCAGTTTTTTTCAGATGTTGACGATTATAAATAACCCTGAAGGATTACATATAAGGTATCCTATATATAGCTATAGTCCTCAGAAATAGCTACGATTTAGTTTTTTTAAAATATACGGTATAACAAGCGTCTATACTCTACATAAAAAAAAAAACAATTGTTTGAATAAAAGATATTGAAGATCACAAACAAAAGTACTAGATACCTACTATGAATGATATCTTGATTAACGGAAATTATTAAAGCATGACTTCGTTTTGATAAATATTTTATTATCATCAGTCAGAGAGAATAAATTATAACATCCTTTTGTTGCAAAGAAGAAATTTGTGTTGAATTGGTATTCAAAAATATATTTATTGTTTCGACAGGTATCATTAATGGCTATGAAGTTCTAAATAATTTATTTCTAAAGAGAAACAAGTGACGTAGATTTTATGAAAAGGGGGAATAAATTTAAGTTTAGACAGGCAGAATAAATTTAAGAAATTTAGTAAAGGGAGAATAAGCCTAGCTTTTTATAATTTCATTTTTAACTATTTTGTGCTATTTATTAGCAAGCACAAAAACAGCTATGAATAACTGAAAAGTGTTGTAACTCCTGGCCAAAAAGTTCGGTTACAGATTGCAAGTACATGTATTGTAAAATATTCGGAACGTCCACTGAATTGCGCTATGAAGATTGTTTTATGCATATATATGTAAAGAACCTCTTTAGGCAGTTTGTCCACCGCCGCCGTCACCGTCACGTCACCGAGAACGAGATTATTTCGGGCCGAGTTTAATATGACGTGACGGCGATCGTTTGTCCACCGCGACCGATGGCTTAGTTTGTTCGCAAATGCGAAAAAAATCTACGCAAATTTTTATCTTTGGCCACTTCCTTGCTTTTATCCCACAAACATTCTTTACTTTCTATAACTTCTATTAATGAATAAATATCGTATTTAAATTTTTTGGCCATTTTTATTACAATGATATATTATGATAATTGATGACAGACAACTGAACTGAGCTCGGGCTGTTTGTCCACCTCAAAATTTATAAAATTACCAGAAATATTAGAAAGATTTTTATCAATAAAAATCGGAATAGCATCGTCACATATGGGGGAACCTAGGAGATGGAGTGATTTATTATCAAGAAATTTAATATTAGGAGCTAAAGCTGAAAATTTGTTATAACTACAAAACTATTTTAACAAAACCGTATTTGTCTACTAGTAACTATGGTTATGTAGTCACAATTTTTATGTAAAAAGTTAAATTTTTTTTGGTAATAAGTAACTCACAACTTTTTTCAGTGTAGAAGGATGAAAACTAGGCTAGACTATTAATATCAAATCAATTAAAATATAAATTAAATGCAATCAATGCAACAGTATAGATTATACTTTTCTAATTTTTCTTCCCGGAAAATCAAGTTTGCCCATTCGCTAATTTGCATTTATCTTTCTGTATCAGACTAAATACCTAATTTGTAAAATTATTAGTAAGTTCCAAAAATTAAGTAGTGCGATATATAAGAAATAGTCGCATTTATATTTACTCGTAGTATACGTTTCAATTAATGTGCCAGAGAAAACACTGTAAGCATTTAAATCATTTCAAGCCGCAGGTGTAGCGTAAATTTAACAAAAGCGGGCAATCCTGTACAATAACGATTTGTTTCACTCAGATAATCGCATACTTAGAAACTCATTACATATTCGCTAAAAACAATTTATTAAAATTTATCGCCGCACATACATTATATTTTGCATGGTCCTCGGGTAATTGTTAAGTAGGTAGGGCCCCCTCTTCCTCCGTTATGTTTTATTCATGATCTCAGAACTCCAAAACACCAGCTCGCAGAATTACATTAGAATCTAAAACAGTTGTAATCGTCTAGGGATTGTTAACAATGGGTTTTTTAGATGAAGGTTGCCATCGATGCTTTCTTAACACTCACTTTTATGTAACTGTTAAGTCTAGAGAAGAATAATAAATATCTAAAACCTTCACAACATACCTTCTACATGCGATATCGCATTAAAATGCAATACAATGATGTACTTAATTACAATTTGACGTGCGACACAAAGACGTGCTACGTCTTTGCTATGGTAACACAATATTACTATTATTGTAAATATCCTATTTTGTAAGAATAAATTATTAAGTAACAAATATCTTTGAAAAACAAAATACATATACATAACTGTTGTATCATAGAGGCCACATTCAATGGGTTTTGTATGGCTATGGATAAAAATGACAAGAAAGACACTGGTGCTATAACCAAAAAGAAAAATGATATTCCATGAGTCTATTATAAAACCCAACCATAAAATCATATACTTAAATACATACTAAAGATACTTCTACACACATTAACTAAAGATTCTGTAGGCAGGTATGAATTCGACGGTTCCAATTAAGAAATCAGAAATCAATATATCTTTATTCAAATTGGATGTATAGTACAACACTTTTGAATCGTCCAAAAACATTTGTTCCCAACCACTCGTTTAAATCCATAGTGGTGGAGTGTCCTGAGTAATGTATCATGAAAAACGCAATCAAAAGCCTTGGACAAGTTGCAAAACACACCTAGAGCTTTCTGAGAGTTCTCCCAGGCGTCAAAAATTTCTTATATAAGTTCAACACCGGTTCCTAAGTTTATCATTAATATGTATCATAGACCCGGTCATAGTGAAATTTTAACTATATTATTCGTTAATTTTTCCCAGAATTAAGTGCTTAATCTTGCTATGTATCGAAATATCCAGATGACGAGCACTGAAAGCCCAAGACGTAATTTAGAAATTTTCTTCGAAAACGATAATGATAAGTAAGTGTCTATAATTTTTTTAACACTCAATGTTTCGTAGTAAAGTGACATCAAATTAAAACAAATTGAACAAAAATCTTGATGTCTCTTCTACGAATGCTTTGTGATTAAAATACATAATGCATCGTTAAAATATCTACATAAGCCATGAATTTAAATTCAATCACAAATTGTGATTTAAATTAAATTTGTGCAATAAGAAGTATAATAGGTAAGTAGTTATATGGCATTTGGATTTATTCGCAGGTCCTTCTTAAAGAATGTTATCTATAAAAAGGGGTTTTAAACCAATTCGGTGAACAGAAATCTAATTATGAAATGTCCACAGAATAATACGATTCATGAAATCCAAATGGTACGTGTAATTTCAAAGATTGGGGATATTTTTCCTGATCCTATCAATCAATCGGTTGGAGACCGCTCGGTGCGCTGACTTCAGAATAAACAAAATTAAAGGTTTTCATTCGTTATTGTTCCGTTTTAGAAACTGAGTGCAAAAAACGGACAATCCACCTAAAACTAAATACACGAACACAACACCACTTGTCTAGCTATTAATGAAACTCGAAATATTTACATGTTCTTTGAATTTACTTATGCTCCTGTCGTACTCATTATAATGATTTAAATGAGGAAAACTAAGTACTCCAATAAAGAAGATATTTAAAGTAACATATTAATATAACATTACAGTGTTATCAGTAAATAAGGACTGAAGGGCAATACCGAGATATTTAAGGCCCTCCGAAGGGACATCGGGACGATTTCGTTGAGTTTTCCCTAAACGAGGCCTTAGGGGAATAATGGATGTCACGTTGTAGATGCCGATATTTTTGACTTTATTGCTTTCTGTCGGACAATATAATACAATATAAATAATATGCACTTTTAGCAGCACCAAAATAGAAGACGTGTCTAAGTAGGTATATATACACCGAGAATTTTAAGTTAACTGAGAAACTTTACCAGCTAATTCAGACAATGATTTAGATTACATTTCCGCAAAAAAATGTTTTTTCTAAAAATTATTTTTAAATGACCACTTTACCCCACTATTTTTGCAATTACTAAACCTTTTCAAATTTTAATTGTTATATATCGATTCAAATAGAATTACTTTCAGGATCCGCGTACTTTGAACAGATAATAATTCCATAATAAATCCAAATTTGTGCCATTAAACGATATTTGGAAACGATATAAATCAATATTTTTGTATGGGGGTGTAGTATGTTTTTGCAGTTTAGGTAAAAAAAATAATGTATACATAAACATATTTAAGTTTCTCGGGTAACTCAAAATTCACGTAGTATTCTCGATCGTTTTTTAATAGTCTGCTCGTCTGCTCTACCCATGTATATATACGTATATATATATATTATTGAAAACCTGTGCACGCTCCCTCACCAGTCTAGAAGTAAACAGTATTTATATATATTCTTTTCTTATCAATCAGTAAAAATGATTGACATCTTTTTAGCATCCTTTAACCTCTTATATAATATTGTTCCATAAATACCTATTTAGCTTATTTGGCTCTCCAACTATTATTTTTGCAACCAAACCTTAATACAAATATTTTTATAAAAGTTATACCTAAGTTTTAATGGGATGCTAGTGTTCTGTTTAACATTTTGTATTCGAAGGTAATAAACACAAAGGGCAATGCCCAAAAAAGGCTCAGCGTGGGCAAGATGCTTGGCATACAACAATTTTACAATATTATTTTATTTATTTTTTAACCAATATCTATAACCGTAATATAATGGAGAGTTTCATTAATAATACAATAAAATTAAATGAAAATAATATAGTCACTTCCTTCCATTAGTTATCTAATGTCACATGATCGTAAATGGCTGTAATCGGTCGAATTTAAGTGATCATCCTCCAAACCTACATTTGAGGTGCAACAAATGTCCAATTCGATAGAAGTTTCATACATTTATGTCAAAATTGAAACGTCAGAATGAAAAGTGGCACTTGGATCCTAGGTTTGGAATGCACCCAAGCTGTCAAAAGAACACTGCGTTTTCTCGTTTAGACTTTATTTTGGTATTATACATGTGACGTCGCACGCCATATTAAGAAAAAAATTTATTTTTAAAGTATAGATGTTTATTTTAAATTTTATTTATTTGTGTAACAGAAAATGTATCTACCCAGAGTCTAGACATCGTATTGGTAATAAATGACTTCGAATATTATAGATCGTTCCGAAAACAACTCTTTTGTACTTATATTATTACCTTTTTTCATCGCGGTGCTAAAAATTGTTTTAAAGGATACTGATACAAAATTATAACGATTCAAAGGTTCCGGCTAATTTAAGCTTTTTGCATCTATAGTTTAACTTGTTAAAATTTCTGAAATATGTTTGCCAAATTCCCATACAAAGTGGGCATTGCCCTTTGCTATATCAATTTCTAACTTGTCTTATTCGGTAAAAAGATCACGTAAAATGTGTAAGACTAAGCTTAATTATAGCCATTTCCTTAGGGCCTCGACGTTATGTGGTTCCCTGCTTTCTTGCTAAAGTGTTCCGCGTGCTTTATGATGATTGGACATTTTACGACCAAATTTTCCTCAAAATTCTAAAAGGTTCTTGTTTTATAAAAACATAAATCTGTTAGAAGACTTTATAACTTGATCAAGGAGCCTAGAGATCTATCATAGACTAAGATAATTAAAGACGGCAAAGTAGGCGAAGTGAATTCTCTCGTAATATCTACGTTCATTAATATCTGACAAAGCTCCTCGCTCGTGCTAAGCCCCTGGTAGCCGAGACTCTTAACTCCCCAGCGAGAGTACAGAATTCGTCTTCATTACGTAGTACTAAAGTTGTTAGTTGTCTTCAGGTATCATCTGTCTTGATACTTAAATCTTTCAATATACTCGTCAGAGGGCGGGGCCGGGGCTTGGTTTTCATTAACGACGTAAATAGTCTGGCATACGCAGCGTCGTGTTTCACGCCTAATGAATGACTAACGAGCTTCGTTTTTACGGGAGACTGTTGATATCTTTCCATTTGTATTTACTTATTTGGATTAAGACAGGTTACTTAGAATTATTAATATATAAAAAAATATTGCTAATACTCACACAAATTAGCGTAGCCCCAAAGTAAGCATTTTAAGGTTTGTGTTATGGGATACTGTGTAACGGATAGAATACTTAAACTGATACATAAGTATATTTATATAGAACTACAGGTAAGTATCTAATCTGTGCCTTAGGTAAAAGTGCTTGTATTTATCACATAAATATTTGCCCCGCCGGGATTCGAACCCAGGACATTGAAACTCAGCGTACATATATTTGATGACAAAATCGCTTCTTAAAAAGAAATGGACTCACCGAAAACGCTTTGAGGAAAACAAGGCATTGTATGATACCCTCCATGGTGTCCCCAGTGAGGCAGAAGGTGCCGGTGAGGTGGCGGCCCTTCTTGTCGCCGAGCGCGGGCGCGGCCGCCAGGCTGGCGTGCACCAGCGCGCCGCGCGGCCGCGCGTCCCTGGTGGCGCCCAGCACGCCGGGCAGCGGCGCTCCCTCCATCAGCCGAGCCAACGGGTCCATGCCCGAGGCTAAGCCACCATCCTGGCCGTGTCGCGAATCCTCCGAGCACCCGAAGTCTATGACGTCACTAGAGGTTTTTGCGTGTTGAGATACGACACAGATTTTGTTAACACGTCAACTGTTTAATGATACCAGGTGATCAACACGAAGATGTTAACGGGCGTTCGACGACGTAGATACGCGAAGACACTGACAATACTGAAGGTGTGATCGTGACAACACGATACCAGGCGATCAACACCGCTGAAGATGTTTACGGGCGTTCGATGACGTCAATACGCGAAGACACTGATAATACTGAAGGCGTGATCGCGCGGTACTGACACGTGGTCTTGCACTCATCACACTGACACTTCTGGTGATCCGCACTCCAGCAATCGCTGTTTAGCAACAATGTCAACAACGTATAGATCAACACTGCCATTCCCACTATTATGTATATCTCCATCGTACACTATCGATTCGGCATATCATCCGACATCTACAACATATTTCGCCGTCGAAACAACAGTGGCATTCCCGAAAAACATCAGAGGCAGAGGTTAGAATAGAAATCGGAAATTACTCAGGTCCGGAGTACGTTTGTTACAAAATAAAACGATTTATTGTTATGGGCGGTATAATAAAATCGAATATGTGGGGTTGTTTGTAATGTTAAGCGTTTTGTTTTCAGCACTCGCTGGGATTCCAAAAATGATTTACACCTGGTGCGTGGTTGTCCTAATAAAATCAATTATGAGAATTCATCGTAAATTTACGTGTCTGTTACAACGAGAAATACTGAAAATGTAAATAAAATAAGCTATCATGTATGTGGTTTATCGATAGCAATTAAAATTTGATTCCGAACTGTATAGGTATAACTCCAAATTTGAATTATCGAGACACAAAAATTAATAGATAATACGTACCGATAGAGATAAACAACATTAGTATGCGACATAAATACGATACGATAGATTGTTTTTATGTTGCTTAAACTTGTAATGGTCTAATTACTAACCAGACGGAGTACGCAATAACCAATCACAAAAGCAATCATGCCAAACATCGTCTCCTCAGCATCCAGCAAACGGATCGATAGCGACGTCTTCGTTCGTTCTGCTCTCCTGGTCCCGTCCCGGCTGATTGGACTCATTGTGCGCGCGGTATTTTATCCCGCATTCGGGTTCCATCATGACGCATTCAATCGACATACTCGAACCACAGGACAATGACAAACGAGTAGGTAATCAATATTTTTTTAAAGAATTATATTTTGATAGGTCACAAAAACAATTCTCTTCTGCGTGAACTACAGAATGCTTTGACCGGAACAAAGATAGTATAAAATATTTTTTAATTGCTAACCCTAGATTGTTATTCAGAATTACCTACATGTAGTTGAAGAGAGCAAACTTCAAAATTCGGAATATTTATTGCATTTTCTATGTTGTACGTACATAACAGGTGGTGTTAAATCATAATCGTTTCAAACATAAGCCCAGATAGAGCACAACAAATAGATACAATAATTAATAAAAACAAAGGAAGGTAAAGTCCAGATTCATGACATGACCTTTTCATAGAATGCTTAATACCTTAAATGTAAAATGTTAGGGGGTTATGAATAAATGATTATTATATAGAATTCAATAGAAGATAAATTAAAATAACGACCTAACTAAAAGTAGATTTTTTTTACGTTTAAATCAGACATTCTAAATTTATTCAAAGTAAAAGATCAGCTGAAAATGTCTTGACTAGCCAAGGTGTAATTAAATGAGATGAGCCATATGAAGATATGTACATCACTGAACAACTCACATTTGCTGTGGCCGCGTGTTTAAGTCTGTACACGGCCCCGTCTGATAACGAAAATAAGGATTACATAGAAGAAAGGATGATTAAAACTGTATGAAGCTCTCTATGAGATTACAACTTCTGCGACACTATAAAAGTTACAATACGTACATAAAAATAATACAAAAAACAATAAAAAAAATAAGTAGAGATAACAATCTATTCATCAGGATAAGGAAACAGTGCCTAGATACAAGACGGATAGAATTTAATAACCAACTCAAAAAGAATTGCAGGCAACGTTGAAACAGTTGTACACTAGTTAAAACCATAACGAACAATGAAGGTTTTTTTATTTATTTGTTGCTTAAACAATTGTGTAAGGAATTTGAATTAAATATATAAGGACTAGGGATTCTTTAATAAATAATAGAATTATTTAACCAAATTACGTGTAATTGACCCGTGGGTCAAGTAGATAAGTGATCGTTAATAATGATACAACTATTAAAGTGAATAGAGAGTTAATTGAAGTAGGTAAAGTTGGGCGAGGAGAATGCCTTCTTAGAATATCCAGAGATTAATTCATTTAATTTATAAGAAAATCATTATTATATTATTTTCACCCTAATAGAATTTTCATTAAGAATGTTTTAAGATTTTTATGTTTAATTTTCTATTTTAATTTGCTTTCCATCAACTTTCCCAAGATCTTTACTCATCCAGTTACGAAAGCGATCTCAACTTCTTAAAATTAAACGCAAATTTATCTCTCGTTAAACGCGCTGGGATATTAATGAAAAGATGTTTTAATAATAATCGTCCATCATGTCAGTTTAAGAGATGTTTTTTCAAAGTAGGTTTAGCTCTACTTACTTAATGTTGAAAGCGAAGTATAATATGACTGTTAACAATTTGTAAACGTGAAATCGCACAGTGTCAATTTACGAACTTGGACTCTCTTATTGTTGCGAAGTAATGGTGTCATCATAGTAACTTTTATACAACAATAAGAACTTGATTTAATATATATATATATATATATATATATTATATTATTTAACGACAGTTACCGCCTTATTACAAAACATAGACTCAAGTTAAACCTGGAGTAAACTGATGCTGTTACTGTGTATGTTGTAAACGCTCTTAATTAAAAACATTCATTTCAAACAGCATAAATAATATCACAATCATAGATGAATGATTGGTCTCGCTTCACTCGACTAGATACCGCCGGCGTACTTGTTTAATGGGGCAACAAATCATCATCATCATCATCATCATCATCATCATCATCAGCCGAAAGACGTCCACTGTTGGACATAGGCCTCCCCCATGGATTTCCACAACGATCGGTCCCATGCTGCCCGCATCCAGCGGCTTCCCGCGACCTTTACCAGATCGTCGGTCCACCTTGTGGGGGGCCTGCCAACACTGCGTTTCCGCGGCCATCGGTCCTGCGAGCAATGTGCCCTGCCCATTGCCACTTAAGGTTTGCAATTCTGTGGGCTATGTCGGTGACTTTAGTTCTCTTGCGTATCTCCTCATTTCTGATTCGATCACGCAGAGAAACTCCGAGCATAGCCCTCTCCATTGCCTTTTGGGTGGCAACAAATACTATGCCGAAATCGGCAGACCCGAGCCTTCGCCGCCGAGGTATTCCAGGTGGATGGCATTCCCCTACGGTGGGAGTCTCTTCTCTGTCTGGAGCTCAACTATAGAGCGTCTCTGAGACTTGAAAATCAGCTCTAGTTAACCATTGTGGTGGGGGGCAGGGGGGGGGGGCTTATAAACGCTTGCGATGCCGAGAAATGCCACTTACGCGTTGTTGTTGGTTACCCTGACAACTCCTATCTCGAGTTACTGCAGATAATACAATTATAACTTTAGTTATTTAAGGGGCAATAAATTTTACATAGACATAGGGGTTCATCCGCTCGAACTGGATCGCCTTTCGTCTGTAAAAGCAACTTCCACCTTACAGAAAATCGCAGATTACCTTTTGATAGCATTGAATTAGCACCATCAATATTTTAACTAGCACCATACACTATTATAACAGACTCGTCAAACTCTAACAAGTATTTCTAAATTGTAAGGCAGCAACTTTTCTTCACATTGTATGAAAATACTAAGACAAATACGAGTTTTTTGTTGTAGTATATATATTTTTATTAAATATTATTGGTTTTTTTATTTATTTCACAAATTCCACACACAATATGTATTATAAGATTGGAACATAATTGCTAAAATAAATAAATATATACGGCACTAAACTGTTATAAGTTAATTCAAACACTTTATTTGTTTCAAGTCAAGTCAAACCAAATTGAGAGAAAGTGCAATGAAATAAATAAGATCAAGTTAAAATAACTTAAATCGTTTGAAACAAATTAAATGAAATCATTTAGGAGGAGATTACATGAAATCAAACGAAACAAGTCAAATCAAAATGAAGTTAAATTTATTTATTTTTAGCAAATTCCATTTTAATTTATAAATTTACTAATAATACGCTTTTTTATAACATACTGTTTTAATTTAATCTTAAATGTTTGTTTATATTAGTTTCTGTTTCAATAGGATTTTTCTAATAAAAACACACACAATAATCCTACCCTGAGAGTGAAAAGCCTACGGCGCGAGCTGTCGCGCACTGTCACCACACAGACAGCCCTCCGTAGGTCCTTCAGGTTTGAACCATGAACAAAACTATCCACCGAATATTGGTTTAATTGGAACTATCGATAGGATAGTCCTCATCGTACAAACCGCATACGATGAATTGTATAGAACTTCATATGGGAATTAATTTGGTATTTCAGGTTTATTATTTATGCAGTGTCACCTCATGTCACTTGAGTTTCTTGAGAAAATAGCTTATTGATTATTTCTGAATTTGACAATTCATTTATTTGTAACTAAAATGGTATGACATTATTTATTAAATTAGTATATTTGACATTATCTGTTTTTAGTTGACATTAGATATGACATTATTAATTGTTTTATTGATTTGACATTTTTAACCATTTTATTATAAATTTAACTAACTTTTACAATGGGTGATTTGACTTTGTTTCTATTAAGTACTATTTGACATTGATATTTGACATTACCTATTTCACTTAACTTTTTTTTTGTTACAGTTATTATTAATTGATTATCTCTTTTTCTTGATTTTATTGAATTTAATGAATTCCTTCTATGGTTGTTAATATTTTGTATGTATGACTTGCCGGCGTTTTGGATTATTCTGTAAGCCTGCATGTTTAAATTGAATAAATAAATAAATATACGAATACAATCCCAGTAAGGCAACGATCGTTCGTAAACTTGAAATTAGGGGAAGTAATGTATATTATGTTTATGAAAATTGTAAAATGGGATTACATTTATATTACAGCAATTATGCCTTAGATAAACAAATGTATTATTTTATTAGACAACAGTTCCGTGAACCCTTATAGTTTCGTCATGTCCGTCTGTCCGTCCCCAGTTTTGCTTGGAGACTATTAGCACCAGGGGCCCAATTCTCGCGGCGTAGATATTATATCACCTTCGATATATATCGAATGAACTGGATTTTATCGAATGAAAACCATTTTGCCCTATTCTCACCATGTCACAATGGATATTTATCTACGGATGATCAGTAGACATACATCGACTGGTAAAGAGCCTTCGATATGGATCTTGGCTTGTCAATCTTGTCATTTTCACTTTTTTTACCTATTATTTATTGTGTTGTCGTGTGTCATTGCCAATTATTGTTACCTAAACATGTTGTTAACTGCCTTCTTAAATAAGTAGTAAATAAAGAAGTAGGTAAACAACATATAGTAACGATGGATGAGTTGATCCATGTTTTCGTCATGACTTAACAAATTAAGCGACTGCTGCTGCTGTGCCAAGG